AACTGAATATGGATATAAAGTCATCAGGTAGATTTCAGTGGTAATGTTTATTACCCCTACTAATTAACATGAAGTAAATTATTATGCTTCCTCCTCAAATATAACTCATTTTGTTGATTATTTTTTTTGTGTGTATATCATACAGAACATCCCAAACAATCTTATTCATCTATATACCCACTTCCCAAAACACACTCTCCCATAGCCTCCCCCCAACCACCGGAGCCCATATACTGTGTCTTCTCTGCTACTGTCCACTGTGTTGTTGGTGCCCCCAGCCATTCCCCAGTGCTTGTCCATCTGCTGAATCTAGTCAGCCTATCTAGAGTTCCTTGTTTTAGGAAGATCAGCTGTTCCTCATCTAGCAGCAATCAGTTGTCAATATTCCTTTAGATCAGATTGGGGGCTGTTGTTCCTTTTCCGAGTTCTATGCTGGGTTACTGTCTGGGAGTCTCTTGGGCCACCCTGGCCAACAACTCAAAGGAAGGGATCTCCTGTCTGGCATTGTTTCTTGTTATGTACCCTGTAGCTATGCATATGGACTCTTAAAAATTATATTGACTCCTTTAATCTTTGGTTATACTTTCCTTTTGCGTGTTTAAGACCCTACAGTCATTTTTATTATGTAAGCTACTGTACTCTGTGGCACTTGATATTGTGGCCCTAGCAAATGAACATACTTGCAAATCCATTAATTTTAAAAGTTTTTTTTTGTTTTTCCATGTCGGAAAAGACAAAGCAGTTAAGCATTCTCGTTAAAACAATAAAAGCATTTCTCAGATAACAGAAACTTTTCCAAACAGCTTTCTTACCTCCTTAAAGAACACTGCAGGTGCCAGCTCAGATCCAGTTAATGTCCGTAATAAAAACATACACCATGATGAAATGTTCATCCGATACCCTGTTTTTAAATTAGATATCAGGAAAAAAGCCTGTGAAACCATGGCAAGGTAATACCAAAAAGGTTACATTCACTGGTCATTTCCAGTTAATGACTAAGAACTTGGGGCTTGGGCAAGAGGACAGACACCCTTTTGTTGCTGTAGCCACCACTCTACTGTCTGACAATATTACAGTGGAACTAGAAACTTTCATTTTAGAAAAGTCACTGGCTAGGGTTCACCAACATACATATAGCTTGGGGATAGGGTATAACAGCACAGGTAACCCAAACCACAGTCCAAGAGAGCATTCATTCTACCACCAACAACCACACAAGCACAGGGAAAGATTGTAAAGGCTTCTAGCCCTGTTGAATCCCTGACTGCCTTCCTTTCCTAAGGGCCATGTCTGTGGAATTTGACAAATGCATATACACAAAAGTCCATTTTCTTGACTGTAAATTTACTATAAAAGGAAAAAGTATATATTTTAGCTAACATTATACATGGCTCAAGTATTACAGAAAGTATATTAGTATCTGACTACTCTGAAATTCATGAAAAATAAGATGGATTGGTGAATCAAAAGAACGGCAGATAGACGAGTAAATATAAATTATGGTAAAATAATAAGGTAATGAGCATATACATATTCATTATTAAATTCTTTTAGCTTTTTCTGTGTGTCTGAAAGTTTCCATAAACTATTAGGAAAAAGACTATTCTTACTCTAGTAATCTTTACACATACTAAACATGATCTTCTAAGAAATTATATCAGAGGTTGCCATAACAGATTTGGTAGAAATTTCACCAAGTGATATCACAACATTTGACATATGCAGCTAGAAGCAGAGTTTTGCCAGTTTTAGTGCTTTCTGGAGCAATCTGTTTCGTTTGACACCGGCCTGCTCCACTGCTAAGTCAGAAGTTGAGGTGTAATCCTGGTGGATACATGCATTAAGATAGGAAAGCAGGTGGATCACTGGCAACAGATCCATAGTCCGCACAACTTATACAAAAATGTTAATCATAATACAAATTATGTATTTTATATGTACTGCCAAGATAGATACTGATTAGCATGTATGGCTATATATTTCAAATTTTAAAAGCAAAATTTAAAAGTATGCAAAAAGATAATGATCATAAATCTAACGATATATTTGAAATCGGACAATCATAATTAAAAAAAATGGAGGGCTGGAGAGATGGCTCAAATTAAGAACATGTACTGCTCTTACAGAGGATCTGAGCTCAGATCCAAGGACCCATGTTGGGAAGCTCATAACTCCAGTTCCAAGGGATCTAGCCTCTGTGGGTACCTGTACTCACATACACATAGCCTTCATCCCCAATACAAATAATTTAAAATAAAACCTTAAAATAACTCAAAACTCAAAAACACATTATCATAGTGCAAAGAAAGAAATTAAATTCTAATGGAGAATGACTAAGTCCCAGGTTTTCACTTATCTCTCATGAAGAATTAAATATGATTTAACAAATATGAACAACAAAAATGTGAATGGTATGAATAAAAAAATAAAAAAGCAGCCAAGTCGTGGGGGAGCAGAAGTAGGGGGAGGGGGATGAACTAAAAAAATTACACTGGCATATACATGTGAAAATGCTATAGCGAAACATTACTTTGTATGGTAACTTAATTTCTTTAATCAAAAAATAAGGGGCCAGTGAGATGGCTCAGGTAAACATGCTTACTATCACACCTGACCACCTGAATTTGATCCCAGAACGAACCCACGTGGAGCAAGGAAAAGAACTGATACTCGCAAGTTGTCATCTGACCCCCATGTATGTGTTGTGGTACCTGCGCCCCTCCTCTCTAAAGGGCAGCAAATACAAAAACAAATCTTAGGTAGTGGCACATGTCTATAATCTCAGCACTTGGGAAGCTAAGGCTGCAGGATCAACAGCTCAAGACCAACCCGAACATACGAAAGAAAGGAAGAAAAAACAAAACACTCTGACCAGTTTAAAAACAGTGGTGGGACTTCTACGAAAGCACTCTGTCACTGAGTTTCACTCCATCCCCCCTTAAAATGACTTTCAAGTAATTTCTGGTAATGAGAATTGAATCCAGGGCTTTGTATATACTATGAACATGCTCTACAACTAACCCGAACATACGAAAGAAAGAAAGAAAAAACAAAACACTCTGACCAGTTTAAAAACAGTGGTGGGACTTCTATGAAAGCACTCTGTCACTGAGTTTCACTCCATCCCCCCTTAAAATTACTTTCAAATAATTTCTGGCAAAGAGAATTGAATCCAGGGCTTTGTATATACTATGAACATGCTCTACAACTGAGCTGCACCCCAACCATTAAGCTCAATCACTTATAATCAATTGCTAAAAGAATACTGATTGTCAGTGCTTTGCATTTCTGATTCATGGGGAAATTTAACAAATAAGAAAAAAAATTCATTCTCTCACTGAGCTTTACAACACTTCTTGTTTTCTGCATTGTCAAGAACATAACCATGAACACCTATCATTCACTCGGATTATCATAACCTTAAATCCTAAAATGAAAAACAAATCCAAAACATGTCACAAATTTTTCATTTTAACAACTTGATCATTTCAACTTTTTGTACTTAAAACCCTTTGTTAAAACGTCCATTCTTTCTTTTCAAAGTCCTAAATCGAAATCTAAATCCAATTAAGTTCTCTGTTCTCTGAGGGAGTCAGAGCTTTCTCAAAGACAAATTTGATTTGTACTGATTCCCCTTTGTGCTGGATAGCTTTAGTGTCAACTTGATACATATGGGTTGAGGGAGCGTCAGTTGGGGAATTTCCTCCATTGGACTGGCCTGTCGCCATGTCTGTGGGGCATTTCTTGATTGTGAGTGATATGGGAGGGCCCAGCCCGCTGTAAGTGGTGCCACCCCTGGGCAGGTGGTTCTGTGTTATATAAGAAAGCAGGTTAAGCAGGGGCCAGGGGAGCAAGCCAGTAAGCAGCGCTCCTCCATGGCCTGTGCTTTAGCTCCTGGCTCCAGATTCTTGTCCTGAGTTCCTACCCTGGGCTCCCACAGTGAGGAACTGTGACCTGGGAACTGTAAGCCAAATAAACCCTTTCCTCCTCAAGTTAGTATTGGTCAGAGTGTTTTGTCACAACAATTGAAAGCAAACTAGAACAAGGTTTTCTGGAATGAGGAAATCAGAATACTTACCTTCAAATGGCTGTTTTCTGGATAATACTTCCCACATGATAACTGCATAGCTGTTAAGTTAAAAATATTTACATACTCAATCAAACTTCATATAATAAACTAATACAGCACTAGTTTTCAAAAAAAAATGAGTCAACAAGTCTCCAAAAATCATTCTTATTGTCACTGCCATCCAGTCGTAAATGTAATCTGGCCCCTGTAATTGCAATAACTGAAGCAACACATACTGAAGCAGTATTGCGAGGGTCACGGGCTTCCAATTTCATACCAACTTTGAAGTCATTAGTTGGTGGAGTCTTGGCCTATATATAAATAACATTTTGTTAAAATACATGGAATATGAGAAAAACAGATGGCAAACTGTGTTAGCAGGACGCTTGGGAAACATTTTAAGGTAGCGTCACAACAGAAGTTGAATGAGGCCAGTGTTACAGGGCTCAAGGCAGAGATCTCCCTTTGCTTGACATCAGCCTAAAAACATTGCCTACCACTCATTTCACTCATTTTCATATCCAAGAAACTCAAATACAGCCTAAAAAATACACCCATTATAATAAGTTAACTAGAAGTCTATGATAAATTCCTATTAAACCCTACGATAAAGTCAACGCCCCAGCACAGTCTGAATACCTCCAAAAGTTCAATTGCAATTCCGTTCCAATTAATGCCTCTATCCACCTTGAACTCCAGCTACTCTGTGCCATCCCGTGATACTCAAAATCTTTTGGATGTTTTCTTTTTTCTCTTAGTCCAAACATCTTAAAAATATATGTTCTATGAGCCCTCCCAGGACAGAGTTATCACACATCTCATAATTATTAGTCTTTCCATCTAGATGGGCAATTTTAAGGGCTTAGTAAACCTAACAAAGTAAATGCAAAGAGAAGGCTCCTTAAGTAGCACAAACATAATTCCCCTTTCTCCTCAGACTACAAGAACCTAGCAACCATACAGACACAAGTTAATGTTGTAAATGTACTATATTCAGTATCAACAGAATTTTGGCATACCTGTCTGAAGTAATCTGAAGGAGCACTTACAGATCCAGTCTCTTTCAAATATTTGTCCCAGCTAAAATAATCTGAAAAAAACAAACATGTACAAAGTAGGGTGGGTTTGGGATATATAACACATTTTTTCAAAATAAAGTATGTTTTAGTCCATACCTCTTTTACAAAACTAGTTTCTAAACAGCAGATTTAAACTTCTCAATTTACATATGATTATGAGCAAGGACATAAAAACAACTTCCTGATCATAATGATCTAATGAAAACTACAACCCAGACTCTCTCAATGAACTGTCAACTAAAGCAGAGTGATCCTAAAAAACTGGGCTTGGGGTGTCATTCAATACACTAAAGAGCTAAACAGTGTGAACATTAGAACAACTGAAAATGTATAGAATAGCAAAGTCTACTCATATGTCTCTTGTTTGTACTATTTCACCCCATTCATGTGAGGGTACTTTGTTGATCATGCAGAGCTAGTGTTTAGTTTGTGTTCTAACAGAATTTTACTGCTGTGATGTTTTATGGAAAGAAAAAAATTCTGAGAACCACGGTAGTTCTTAATGGACTATAAATTCCAATCAAGAGTGTCAAGAAGGTGGTGGTAAAACAAAACAGCAAACCAATGAATAGGGCAATCACTGAAATAGATGGTTTTAATGATCTACATCTTCTATGAATTATGCTGTGATCTTTCATGTCATCTTCATGGTATACCACAATGCTAGAGAAAATCAGAAAGAAATGTACACTGCATAGCTTGAACACTTCAATTCACTGTGCTATCTAGACTGTCAAAACCCTTAACAGGCTTTCTAGAAACACTAAAGATCCCATTAACTCATATAAAGTTTAATTTTCACCAACAAGGAAGTTTTTCTATATCCATCCTCAACATTAAAAAAAATAGTCAGTTTGAATTTTCTCTCCCTAAGAGAATCTTCATTACCACTTTCTGATACACAGTAGCCCCTTTTTAAATCTAAACTGCACCCCAAAACATTATTTAGGGGCTGCAGAGATGGCTCAGTGGTCAAGAGCACTAGCGTGCTAGCAGAAGTACTTCAGTTCCCAGAATCTACACGGTAGCTAACAACCATCCATAACTTCAGTTTCAGGGGATCTGACACCCTCTTCTGGCTTCTGCAGGCATTGCACAACATGGGTGCACTCATATACACACATGCATAACATTCTTACACATCAAATAAAAATAAATTTAAAAAAAGAAAATTCCAAAAATAATTCTTAAGATTTAAAATATAGTTGCTTTAAGTAGTCTGATGAAATTGCACACACACTGTATAGCCCACTCAAGACCTTATGCTGTGGGTGCTCCCTGCCTATACATCACTTAGCAGCATCCTTAGTCATGAAATTACCTGCTGAGGTATCACGCTGCCTGTGTTCAAGTAACTTTCATTCTACTTAACAAGTAGTGATGCTGGGAATTCAGATGTACCACAGAGAAAGCCCAAGTATGGCACCTCTTCCTTTACATGAAAGGCGAAAGCTCTCAACAAGGAAAGAAAACAATATGGGGAGGCTGTTAAGATTCATGCTAAGTTAGTAGTTGCCAATCTCTTGTTGTGCCTAAGTTATAAATTAACCGTTACCTTACATTTGTACATAAAGCATGAATTACTAGAATATATTTCTCCCAAGGGAAGAACTCTTATATCCTTCAAAATATAGTACAAACCTTTACATACAGAAAAGGGCTGATAAATATTTCCTAGTCAATTTTCTAGAAAATACAAATAAGAAGCCTGGCTGGTAGTATCTATGGTTTTCTTTATAAATAATGCCACCACGGTGACTGCAGGATACCAAAGCAAAACAATCAACCAGTAAGTTGGGGGAAAGAGGTGCACAACCGGCTTCCACAAGTCAGTATGAGCCAGCCCCCTGGTATACCACTAATACATATGGGTGCATTAATTTTTGTGTCTAACTATACATATGTATTAAGCATGTCATAAATAACATTCCTAGCATTTTATAAAAATATAGTCACCAATCTAAAAAATACAGAATTTGATTATGCTTCCAGATGATGTGGAGTGCTACCACAGTGTTGAAAATCATGAAGCAAAGTGTCAAGAATACAAACTCTGGAGTTCAATCTGCCTGCTTCTAGCATGGTTCCACTTCTTATTTAACCTGCAGAAGTCATTTCACTTTCTCAGCCTCAGATCCCTCATTTATAAGATGAAGAAAACAATATTTGTGTATGATTATATATATATATCGTACTAGACATGTTCAGAATTAAGTAGCATATATGAACACTTAATAAATTGTGTATTATAAAAATAAATGTTGCATCTGTGCCTAAAGTTATGAATACTTAGTAGATTTGTCAAAAGTAAAAACTGTGATCTATGGGTCCATAATTAAACTGACTAAATACTTCTGTGGTCTCCTAACAGGACAATTAGTAATGTAATGGCTATAAGTGAAGTTCTACCACCATATAATCTAAGAGAGCATTAAAAAAAGAACAAAACAAGCCAGGCATGGAGGCTTGCACCTTTAATCCTGGCACTCGGGAGAGAAAGGCTGACGGACCTCTGTGAGTTCGAGGCCACTCTGGTCTACACTGTGAATTGCAGGCCAGCCAGGGCTAGCTAGTTAGACTTTTGTGTGGAAAAAAAAAAAGAAGAAAATAAAACTTGACCAGAATAAAATTAAGGTTATGTCACCCCAGAAAGGAAACAATGACTAAAATTCTTTCACATTTATATCTCAAAGAGCTACTACTCTTCTATGTAAATATAACGTTTTTAAAAATATTGTATAAATTTTATTTATGTGTACTGCCTGCATGTAATGTGTGTGCGTGCACCTATGTTGTGCAAAGCCCACAGAGGCAAGAGGGTACTAGATCCCCTGGAATTAGAATTACAGACAGTTGTTAGCCGCCAAGTGCCTTTTGGGAACCAAACCTGGGTTCTCTGCAAGAACAGTCAGTGCTCTTAACTGATGGGCCATGTCTCCTGCCCCAAATCAGTAATGTTTTAAAGGTTTCAGTGACATGGGAAAATACTTAATGTATCTGAGCAATGCAAATTTTGTTTGAAAGGAAATCTTTCACATTGAATTGCCAAAAAATCAATCTTCCTGCCTTTGCCTCTCAAGTACAAAGATTACAGATGTATGCCACCCACCCTCAGCCACACAAGTTTTTAATATTCTGTCATCATTGTTTCTGATCTGGCTATAATTTGAGCTCCAAATCCTTTATATTGGTCCCCTACAATAGGGCACTTTTCTATCACATTGCTAGCTAATGGTCATATGTAGTATATAACATATAGAGACTTAATTATTTTCTCTTTTTTTGTAAGACAAAAGATTTATTTGGCCCTAATAAAATTATTTGCCTTGGCTGCCCACGTAATAATACCAATAGTGGCTGGAGAGATGGCTCAGTGGTTAAGAACACTGTTGGTCTTGCAGAAGACCCAGGTTCAAGTCCCAGCACCCACATGGCAGCTAACAACTGTCCATAACTCTAGCCCCTGGGTATCCAACAGCTTCTTCTGACCTCCGCGGGCACTGCATGACACAGGTGCACTTACCTACATGCAGGTAATACATGCATAAACATAAAATAAAAATAATAAATATTTTAAAAGTTAAAAAAAACATAACCAATAATGTATGGGAAACACACATGGTTCCAAGCTTTATTAGGTTAGATTTGACACATCTACATCTACATATCACAGCTAGAATTCCTAACCAGTAACCAAAATAGTCAATAGAATCTTAACTAAGCCTGAGGTCCCTGTTTGCCTTTGCATCTTGTTCTTATTGGAATATGGGAAGGTAAGGTCATCCTCCATTGGAGAAGATGCCTGGGAAGTGATAGGTTTCTTCACAAAACAGGCCCACATGCATAATTTTGTGATCTGATCATTAGTCCTACACAACCGCGGGGTCCCTTTTCAGATCTGGTCTGCACTCCATTCTAATTTATTCATAGACCTCAATACCTTCTGGCATAGAGAATATTATCTGCGTCAACCTCCTTGGTTTTCTCTGAAATGAATCATAATTATAATTCCTTCCACCAGTGCCAGGTCTGAGTTCATAAGCTATGTGAAGTTGATGGCCAAAAAATTATCTGAGGTAGAAATTTCTCAGTTGAATGATCAGTATCTACAACTTCACAGCACTTATTATACCTATAATTAGGCATTTACTGTCTATCTGTCCCCTAAACTCAAAGACAGTAGGAATCATGTTTGTCTGCTCATCAGTAGATTGCCACAGTGAGTCATCAATATATGCCAAGCATTATCCTCGGTATTACGGATACATCAGTTAAAAAGACAAAAATCTTTCTCAGAGCTTTCCTCTAACACTAACTGTTATATAAGATGAGATGTTAGGGTCTAAGCCCAGAAAAAATTTTATATGATGGTCAATTTGATTAAGCAATCTCATTTTTTAAATCAAAAGTATCCCACTCCTAGAGATCCTGCCTGCTGTACAAGAACTCTGCCTTCTTTCCCTCTCCTAGGCTCTCTACAATAAAATACTTCTTTCTAAAACTAAAGTCTGTCCATTTTCAAAAAATGACCAGTTTCTACCTTTTTAAAAATATTTTATTATTTTTATTTATGTGTATGAATGTATTGCCTACAAATATGTAAGTGCACCCATGTCATGCAATGCCTGCAGAAGTCAGAAGAGGGTTTCAGATTCCCTGGAACTGTAGTGTAGGGCTGTTGTTTCCCAAGATGTAGATGCTGGGAATTGTACTGAATCCTCTGCAAAAGCAGTCAGTGCTCTTAACTTCTGAGCCATCTCTCCAGCTCCTAAAAATGCTGATTTAAAAAATATATATATGGAATATCCAGAATAGGCAAATTTATACTAATGTAAAGTAGATTAGTATTTTCATATAGAGACAGAAAGTAGACCAAATTTGCCAAGATTATTGTCAGAGGACATAATTACCAGTAGGTACAGGCTTAATTTCCAAGGTGAGAAAAATGGTTTAAAATTGCCTGTGGTGATGGTCAAACAACTCTGAAATATACTTAAAACAATAAATTGTACAGCTGAATGTACGGTATGTAAATTGTACCTTCATAAAGTTGTTTTATTAAAAACCCGAGTATGGCTGGAGAGATGGCTCAAGTGGTTAAGGGCACTGGCTGCTCTTGCAGAGGACCTGGGCATAATTCCCAGCACCGACGTGGCAACTAACAACAGTCCATAACTCTAGTTCCAGGCGATCCAACACCCTCTTCTGACCTCCCTAGGCATTGTACAACACAGGTACACTCACATACATGCAGTCACTACACATAAAATAAAAATAACAAATAAAATTTGAAAAAATTAAAAATATAGAAAATAAAAACTAGGGAGCCAGGCGTGGTGGCACACACACCTTTAATCCCAGAACTTGGGAGGGAAAGGCTGGTGGATCTCTGGGAGATTGAGGCTAGCTAAGTCTACATAGTGAGTTCCAGGCCAGTTGGGGCTACAGGGAGGCCCTGTCTTCAAACAGAAGGAAAGGAATGAAGGAAGGGAGGGAGGGAGGGAGGGATTTATTGATTGATGGAGAAAAACAGCAGTCTAGCCTAATGGTTTCCATTTCCTTGTAGGTTTAGGAGGTTGGAGGGAAGAGCTGAAATGAATAAAAAAAAGGTAAATGTGAAAGTGAACTCAGGGAGCAAAGGTGAAATCCAATGATTCTAAAGGGATAAGACTCTCTATAGGCTATCTTCAAAACAGACTAGATAATCACAGGGTGAACTGTCCCAGGACTGAGGGTAGCAAAGCATATGTAACAAAAAGACAAGGGGTAAGAGGTTTGCCTGAAAATCTCTTGTAAAACAGTAGTTTATACCCAGCACAATGGTGCATGTCTTTAGTTCCAATACTCCAGAGGCAGAGGTAGGTGGATCTCTGTGAGATGATCTACATAGTAAGTTCCAGGTTAGTTGGGGTACAGGGAGATCAGGTCTCAAAAATTAATCAATTAATTATAATAAAAGTAAACTCCCAGTCAGTAGTTCGCTGTTTTTTTTTTTTCAATTCTTTTTATTCAGCTATTCATGCGCATCACTTATTTTCTTACTTGTTTTGGGATTAGGAGATCCAGTGTTTCAAATTATCTCTTTTAGTCTGTCCAATGCCATTTTTTACAGGTATTTTTCACAATAAAGAACTTAAAATATGAATAACAACAAACTCAGGTAAAACCTTAATACTTATATGACTAGGTATTATAATAGGAGTTTTACATTCATTTTGCTTCACTGTAAGTACAACAATATAAGAATTAATATCCTTGTGCTATAGCAGAAAAAAAATAAAGAAGCTAAGAAACACTGAGTAATTTGCCCCAAGTCACAAAGCCAGCAAAATAGGTCAAACTTCTAACAAGGCATCTCATGTCTCCCCAGTATCTAAGAAAATGACAACTGAACCATGTTTTCATCATGGACTTTAACATTGACTCTAATGTCTGCAAAGGAATATTCAGTAACAATCACTTTAAATGCATGGTAATAACTCTCCCAATTTGGCAAATTCACACTGAAATATATAGTCTTCATTTCATGTGATCCAGGTCAATTTAAGTAAAATTAAAGCAAAAATGACAAAATAAATTCTTGACCTTTTCTAGTGCTAAGATTTTGTTATAAATGTTTAGTAGACATGGACTATTCCAAAAGCAATGTGAGTTCCTTTTAACATAGAACGAAGAAGAAAACGATGTGCTGAACTACTTAAAAACCTACCACTTTTCGCCGCAGAAGATGGCCTTGAATGAGGAGATTTCGCTTGACTGTCCTTCTTGACATCTGTTGATTCTAACAAAAAGAAAACAGCAGAGAAGTAGTCAAAAACTACACACTAGAACTATTTTTAATAGGAACCAATTTTAATTTTGTGATTAAAGTCTCATCACTTTCTAATGTACCATGCACTTCATAATTTATTTATTCATTTTCTTTTCTATATGGTTCACTCCAAAAAAGCAGAGACTTATTTATTTACTTTGGTCTGTCTTGTTCACTACTATACCCTTAGTGCATAGAACAAGACAGGATCAAGAATATTCTCAGTCATTTTATGAATGGATGTATCAATAATTCAAAATTAGCAGTGAATGGATCCTTAAAATGCTTAAAATAATGCTTAAAATAATAAAGTCCTAGAAATATAGTGATGCTTTCAAATGGCAGCTAACAACTGTCTGTAACTCTAGTTTCAGGGGAATCCAATGTTGCCCTTTGGTCTATACAGGCATCGCATGACAAGAGTGCACTTACATACACGCAGGAAAAACACTCACACATGAAATAAAAGTCAATCAGAAAAAAACCTTAGAAGTATAACATGCAAGCTAGAATAGAATGTATGTCAATGGACTACTCAGGTGTTCCTCTATGCTAGCTAAGTCTTGATCCTTGAGATTTCACCAAATCTAAAAATATATGACTTCACCTATATATACTACAGTATATACTGCTGAGGGAACTTGTTTTAAGACTTAGGCATAATACTAAAAAACAAGTCTTTAATATCATCAAATAATCCATAGAGGCCAGAGGGGGGCCAGAACTAGGCACTCTCTGGCAGTATCTAGACAGGAATTTTAAAAGTTAATTCCTTAGCTATTTATAGGTACAAGTAATTTTTATTAATCAATTCTGTTCTTTGACAATGTCATACAGACAGTTGATGTTTTCAATTATTTGGAAAAAATACACACTTATATTTACTAAATGGTTCTACAGTAAGAGTTTTTAAGACAAAAGACTATTGGTTTTGTTTTAGGGAAATTAAGAAATCTAGTAAGAGATACTACATGAAACTACTACACTGAAGAACTAATAAAGTAAACAAAAATAAAGGGCAGCATTCAGCATTCAGCACTCAGCATACAACCAGAAGAAAAGTTATAACATAGTCAAGACTTGAATGAGGAACAGGAAGGAGACTGTATAAAGTATAATGGGAAAGAAGATACAACATAAAGTACAAACAAGTATGGCATAGTCATGGGTCAATAAGGAGGAGACCTCTCACTACAGAAAGACAGGATGAAGCATTCAGTTACTTATACTACACTTAGAACATCTGAATTCAATTTATGCCATTTTGTAGTCCTATTTATTATTTTTATTGCTGAGGGAATTAAACTCAGGGCCTTTCACATTCTATGCAGTTACTCATAACACTAAGCTCTATCCTTAGCCCAGAAGATTTTGACTGTAACCTTGGCGTTGTCACAGACTACTGCATGATGTGTTCACTTACCTCCCTGAGTTTTAGTTTTCTCACTCAAAAAACAAGGATGGAAAATTCTAAGCACCTAACATAAACAGATAATGAAAATATGGGTGATAAAAATGATCTTAAGAAATAAGGATCAGAATGGCCACAAGTGACAAAGAAAGCCTCGAGATTAAGAGCCAATTTATCCATTTAGTTTCTCAGTAACTGGATGGTTATCTATCCTCTAAATAAATGTGCTTCTAGAAACACTGTGTCCTATCAAGTGCATATAAAATATGTTTAATAAGAAATCCAGAGAAGTATTATCTTCTTTCAAATACAAGAAAGTAAATAATCATAGAAGGAAAATACAAGGAACAAAATTTGAAATTTCAACTTCATATGATAGTATTCTGTGAGGGAAAAGGTATATAACTCAGAAACTTGTTTTTTAAAAATAAATTTATTTCCCATTGCTGAGACTCCTTGGATGAAGCCACCCTCCCCCAGACCTGGAGGGAAGAATGCTGCTTCTCACCAGGGTTGGCACCAAGCTGTGTTCAATAAAGTTCTCAGATGTGGAAAAAAAATATTTCCTAAAATTTTTTTACAAGCTTTGTTTTGCTGGGCATGATGGTGCATGCCTTTAATCCCAGAAATCTGGAGGCAGTGACAGATGGATCTCTATGAGACTGAGTCCAGCCTGGTCTACATATTGAGTTCTAAGCCAGCATGGGCTACAGGGAGACCCTATCATAAAACAAAAAATTATTTCAAGAGTTCAGTATATAATAAAATATTCATTGCAAACAAGTAACTAAAAATATCTTCAGATAAGCAAATCTTACCTTCATGTGCTGTTTGTCCCATGGTATCTTCTCCTGCTTTGCTTTCCTACAAAGAAAAACACTTAATTAATGCCTCCTTTTAAGCATAATACATTTCTGAAGGGTGGTGGGGTGGTGGTAGTAGTGGTAGTAGTAGTAGTAGTAGTAGTAGTAGTAGTAGTAGTAGTAGTAGCAGCAGCAGTAGTAGTAGTAGCAGCAGCAGTAGTAGCAGCAGTAGTAGTAGAAATCAGTTGCAGAATAAGAACTTCAATCGCTTTCCCTTGAATAAAAATGAGAAGGTGAGTTGCTAGCTGGAAAAAGGGTATAAGCAATGATTACTAATGGAACAGGGGTATCAAGTTTGCTTTTAGGAGTATCAAAAACAGTCTAATGTTATATATTAGTGATGGTTATATAACTTCGTGAATATACTAAAAACCACTGCAGAATTAACATGTTTAAAGGTGAATTTTATGACACACAAATTAAATATCTCAATTTTAAAAATCAAGTGAGGGGCCAGAGATGATGTTCACTGGCAAGGTTTCTGGGTTTGATTTCCCAGCATTAAGAAAAAAAGTTAAAAGTGTAAAATAAAACACAAGGTAGTTTGGCAGCCATTGATATTCAAACTGAGGTATAGGCCCACTTCTAGAACCACACTATGCTACAGAGTAGTAGAAAAGTCCTGACTGTACTGGTAAACTCCAAAAATACAGTCTGTTAGAAGTCAAGCACTTTGGTACATGCCTGTAATTACAGCACTTGGGAAGCTGAGGTAGGAAGATCTTAAATTTGACTTCAGTCTGGACTACACAATGAGAATCTGTGTCAAACAACTGAACAAAATTTGGGGAAAATTGTTGATTAGAAGGCCTGCATATTTTAAACCACTACTAATTTGAATTTTTCTTGCATATCCTCAACATGCCAGATATTCTAAAACAAAAATAAATGTTTAATTGTCCTTCTACCCCAAGAGCTCAATCTATTTCAAAATAAGCAGATGGGGGCTGGAGAGAAGGCTCAGCAGTTAAGAGCACTGACTTCTCTTACACAGGACCTGGGTTCAATTACCAGCACCCACATGGTGACTAACAACCATCTATAACTAAAATCCCAGTGGCTCCAACACCTGCTTCTGACCTCTGCAGGCATTGTACTACATGGGTACACTTACATACATGCAGGCAATACACTCAATACACATAAAAATAAAATTTAAAAAAATCCCAAAATAGGCATATTGATAAAACACAGAATAAGTACTATAAAAAGTTAGGTATGGGCTGCAGAGATGGCTCAGCGGTTAAGAGCACTGAGTGCTCTTGCAGAGGACCCGGGTTTGATTCCCAGCACCCACATGGTGGCTATGAACTGTCCTTAACTCCAGTTCCAAAGGAATCTGAAACCCTCTTCTGACCTCTGTAGCACTGAACAACATGGGTGCACTCACATACATGCAGGCAATACACTCATACACATAAAATAAAAATAGTAAATAAAATATTTTTTAAAAAGTTAGGTACATAGAAAAACCCAGTATGACAAAACTATGTTTACCCAGCCTAATTCTGTGTGCCTGCAGTAAGAATCTGATAGTGTGTATAATTAAAGGTAGTTCAGTATTTAAAGGGATCTACTCAAAGTCACCAAGACAGACTTCTATAAACCGGACTCAAGAAACTTATTTTCACGTAAAGTCTTACCTCCCCCATAAGCTTGCTTCTTCTGAAATCTTTCTCTCACCAACACCACTACTTTCTTCAGTACTTACCTGTAAATGTGTTATTCCTTCATTCAGACACAGTGGCCTATAGAGACTCCACCCACTGGTTTACACTTTCATGTAGTTCTACTTGTATAAGAGCACGCTTATCTCACTTGTCTTGCTATCAGTGTATTTCTCTATCATAACCTATGTCATACACAACATCTGATATGGTCTGAGCTGTGTTCTTCCCAAATCACCCCTCCTGCTTCAACTGAATTGAGCAAAACATCTAGAGCCTTCTGTGGGTAACATTAAAGATCCTCTACAACTTCAAAACCATTTGACATCTATCACCTACACCTACCCTATGCACTAACCTCCCAAAACTTTTTGTTTAAGTGACTCCTCATGCTGTTTTAAAAACCCCTTCTCTTCTGCTTCTTGAAATAGTGTTGATGCTTTAAGATCAACAACAAATACAACCTCTTTCCTGAAAGCTTTCTTGTTCTTTTTTCCAACAGCATCACCTGATTGCAGGTGTGATTCATCTATGTAACAAATACTTAATTTGTATAAGGTGTGGTGCTACACTGATAGAAGATATGCAATCTAAATCTAGCATGGGGACACATGCCTGTTATCTCAGCAAGGGAGAATCATGAGTTTGAAGCTAGCTCTCCTATACAACAAGACCTTGCATCTGAAGGAAAGGAAACAGGGAAAAATAAACACATTATAGTAAATAAAAGCTGTGAATATGGGGACAGAGAAATGGCTCAGTGTTTAAGAGTTGAGAGTGCTTGCTGCTCTTGCAGAAGACTGGAGTTTGGTTGCCAAAATCCAAACTGGGCTGTTCATAACTCCTGTAATGCCAGCTCCACAAGATCTAACACCATCTTGTGGCCTGCTCTGGTACCTACATACACACACACAAGAAAGAAAAGAAAAGAAAGAAAAGAAAAGAAAAGAAAAGAGAAGAGAAGAAAAGAAAAGAAAAGAAAAGGAAAGGAAAGGAAAAGAAGAAAAGAGAAGAGGGGAGGGGAGGGGAGAGGGAGGGAGGGGAAGGGAGGTGAGGGGAGGGGAAGGAGAGGGAAAAGAAAAGAAAAGACCTTTTTTTGAAAGTTGGGAATCAAACAGGAGTGTAAATCATAGATATTTATAAAACAAAACAAAAAATAGGCCTGAAGAGAGGTTAAAAGTATTACTCTCCAGGGGAAATAGAAGATACAATTAACTTGGAATATAAAAGGCTTCCCAAATGCCGCCACTTGAATTCGCTGTTGAAAACAGATAATTTCATATTCTGTGCTGAGAGCACTCCTACAAACAGTTAATTTCCTAAAATCCATTCAACTTTGTGTAAGAAATGAGGCAAGAGCCAGCCCCAGAGTGACACAGTAAAAAGAGGGTAAGGATTCTATGTATGAAGCAGCAAAGTGGCTATGGTTGGCAACCCAAGCTCATGCTCTATCCAAAATAATAATAATAATAATAATAATAATAATAATAATAGAAATACCACAAAAAATATATTGAAGTTTGAGTGCACTGAGCCCAACTGCAGATCTAAGAGAATGCTGACTATGAAAAGATGCTAGTATTATGAATTTTGAGGAGTTAAGAGAAGAAAGGGTCCAATGATCCATTTCTAAGCTTGATCTTTTGTTATCAGAAAATGAGGTTGTATCCACATACAATTTACTCACCCTCCAGCCCCACCCCTCTGTCATTCACACAGAGTTGGCAGTTTCAGTGAGCAGAGAAAAAAAGAGGAATGTCAAGTTAAATAACAATATAAATAGAAATGAAAGAGGCTCCTCCTGCCTCTGCCACTGACTTTATGCACTGACACTGTTGTTCAGGATTCCTCAGGACTCAGTCCCTTCTACAGTCTCTTATCAGAGGTTGTGGCTTCAGCAGCTACCCATACACAGTTAGCTCACAAAGCATTACCCTCCTCTCATAGACCTCACCTCTAAAAGTCAGACTAGAATAACCAAGTGGATAGATTATCTGATACCTGCTAGGATATTGTCATTTAAGGACTGGAGTCTAGTGGCTAAAGAAACAGATAAAGGAAAGGAACAGACAAAGGAAAAGAAGAAGGTGCTTGAGTCTAGGAGATAAGAAAAGAAGATGCACTGTTATTCTTGAAGAGGATGAAGGCACATACCAATTCTGTTCAGATAGTGAAAAGTTGTGAATTACATTCACAAAAAAGTAAGTCTCATAACTACATGAAAGGTTCAGTATAATAAAAAGAAAGATATATCACACATCAAAGATAATCCTAGCACTTGGGAGGCGAAGGCGGGTGGACCTCTTGGGAGGCAAAGGCAGGAGATTGAGGCCATCCTGGTCTAGATAGTGAGTTCTAGGTCAGCTGGGGCTACAGGGAGTCCATGTCTCAAAAAAAG